TTCTTACATTTATATTTGTAGATGAAGTCACGCGTTGCCTGTTTGTCGATGTTTTGCAGCCCAAAGCTTAAATATTTCTAGAATGTTCTAAGATTCTGCAGTATAGTGCAATAGTAGCTCAATTTTTTTCGAAAATTTCTATAAATTCAGGAATATTGTAGAGAGTTGCTGAATATTTCGTGATAGCCTAGTTTGGAACACTAGAAAATGTTCAGAAACTCTTTAGAATGTTTCCGAATTTCTGAAACTTTTCGGAAAAAATTGAGCTACTATTACACTATACTGCAGAATCTTAGAACATTCTAGAAATATTTAAGCTCTGGACTACAAAACATCGACAAACAGGCAACGTGTGATTTCATCTACAAATATAGATGTAAGAAAAACCATAAAATATCAAATTTTGCTGGACAAAAAGAAATGACTTTTTCAAAATTTTTGTACCTTAGTGGCCGGATGTATCCAAATGGATACATGAAGCCATTAGATGCTGAAGCACTTATTGGTTCTGAGAAATAAACTTTTCCTATCTCCATGGTCTAGGAGCAACGAAAATCCATAATAAGACTTTTTTGTTACTTGTCTTCTAGTAGCCGGCTGGAAAGGGTTAAGAAAGCAAACACAAAAGTAAATCAGAGCTTGTCCAGTTGTTATGCAATTTTGTGGAATCTTGAAGCAAATTCTAGCATCTTAGAAACTGAGAGTTTGCTTGTGTACAAAATCTGGTATGACTGAATTGGAAGGACAATGATGGAAATAAAAATCAAAATCTTCGAAAATATAAATGGGTTCTAGGAAATCTCAATGAACAATTGAAGTGCAGTATTTGAACTTATTCTTTGATTGTTTTGTACTAGAGTGAATACAATCTCATTTTAGGATAATAATAGAGCTTATCAGCGCAACTCTTTTGAAGAAGAATTGACCATCAGAATAGGCAGTTCTTTGATTTCTGCATTTATAATCGAAATTTTTATATTAATACGAACGCCCTATTTTTTATCGCACCATTGCTACCAGAGATCCAAACAGGCTGTCTAATCTGTAGTTTTTTCTTTGTAATAAAACTAACCGCATATTTGGAATCACCAGCAACAACTTAGTCGGCTTATGCTTGTTTCAAATTTTTCTGAAAAAGTTTTTTTTATCGAAAAATTCACCTGTGGTCGACTTGGGTTTTTAATTCAGAAATATTTTTACTGTAAATTTTTCGTATGTCAAATATTAGCACTTGAAAACTTCATATAATTTTTGTCGAAATCCTTGAGTCAACGTTTGGAAACATTTCCTCATCAGTCATATCTATTCAAGATGTGCTTAGAAAAAAAGCTAAATTTTTTTCATGAGGCCACAGTCTTTCTATTCACTCACTTATTATTCTTTGTCAAGATGTTCAACTAATAAATAATTATAATAGTCATCTTGAATGAATTCAAACGACTTCCTTAGCTCTCTACAATAGTATTTTTGCTTCTACTCCATCATCATTACTGTATGCGCTTGAAAAAAATTGACAGGCCTTCACAGGCAGACCAAGTCGTCAAAAAAACAACCTGCTTGAACATTTAGTTGCTATCTACTCCTTATCTTTCATCTTTTTTAAAATTCTTTTTTCTTACTTTAATATTGTTATCGATATAATCGTTATATTTACTAAGAGAAGAGTAGATTTGATTAAAATATAGATGATATGTACAGTAGAGGGTGGGTGTGGATATGGGTGTGGGATGTGGGGTGTGGGGGTTAGGGGTATCAGGGTTCCCGTACTTTGGAGTTCCGTTCCTAAGGAACGGGAACCCGCATGATTATTCATTTCTATGCATTTTTGATCGCGCTGAAGTTCATAGACATGCTTTTTCTTTCGTTTTGAGCAAATCACTCCGAGTTCCCGGGTTCCTGGGAACGAGAACCCGTAACGGGTTCCGGATTCCTGGGAACGAGAACCCGTAACGGATTCCGGATTCCTGGGAACGAGAACCCGTAACGGGTTCCGGATTCCTAAGAACGAGAACCCGTAACGGGTTCCGGATTCCTAAGAACGAGAACCCGTAACGGGTTCTGGGTTCCTAGGAACGGGAACGCGGTTAAAAATTCATTTCTGTGCATTTTTGAGCACACTAGAGTTCATAGACATACTTTTTCTTCCGTTTTGAGAGAAGTCTCCCCGGGTTCCCAAGAACGAGAATCTGTACCGAGTTCCGGGTTCCCAGGAACAGGAACCCGCATCAGGTTCCGGGTTCTTAAGAATGAGGAACCCTGTTGCAAATCGTTTAAAATAGAAATTTAGATAGGGTTCCCAGTTTTTGGGAACCCAGTGTGGGTTCTCGTTCCTGAGAACCCGGAACCCGGTGTGGGTTCTCGTTCCTGGGAACCCGGTGCGGGTTCACGTTCCTGGGAATCCGGAACCCGGTGCGGGTTCTCGTTCCTGGGAACCCGGGAACCCATAGAGACCTGTCTCAAAACGAAAGAAAAAGTATGTCTATGAACTCTAGTGTGTTCAAAAATGCACAGAAATGAATTTTTAACCGGGTTCTCGTTCCTAGGAACCCGGAGTGACTCGTCTCAAACGAAATAAAAAGTATGTATAAGCACTCCAGTATGTTCAAAAATGCACAGAAATGAATAACCAAGTGGGTTCCCGTTCGTAGGAACGGAACCCGAAACTGACACCCCTAGTGGGGGTCATGGTGTGTGTGGATGTAAGGAGAATACCCACAGCTATATCCACATTCACACCCACACGCTCACACCCACCCCTCACACCCACACCCACCCACACCCACACCAACACCTACCAACCCACACCCACACCCACCCACCCACACCCTTAAAAAACCCTTTCTTTGACCCAAAAAATGGAATTCAAAATTTTCAAAATCTGACTTCAAAATCTGACTTCAAATTCTGACTTCAAATTCAGATTCCTCGACCCCGATTCGCTTCCGCCAACCTTTATAAAATATCGCTATTTTCTCAAAAAACTCTTTCCTTGGCCCAAAAGTTTGAGCTCAAATTTTTAATGCTTTATATACCATTTTGTAGCTCGTGAAATTGTCTATCGAATGGTATATAATAGTTGGGGTTTTATTTGACTATGATAGGAAAATTGTTTTACGAAAGCGGTGATGGGTCGATTTCCGCATAGGAAACCATAGGAAAAAATGAGTCTTTTTGCAATAACTCAGGAATGGTTCAGCCAATTCTTCTGATCTTCGAACTCGATCGAGACATTGTTAAGACTGAGCTGTGTAGAAAATTTCATCGCGATTGGACTCTTCTTTCAAAAGTTATCGTGTTAACGGACGGACGGACATACTGACCGATTCTAGAGTGTACTCACTTTTTGAGTACACAAAAAAGAAATAAATAGATCTCAAATTTGATGAACCTTATAAGAATTATTAAATATTCATGATAATGTATATATTTGTTTTGAAATTTCAAAATGAAATAAATTAAATTTCGATCAAATCTATGAATCCATGTGATAAATATCACCTCATCAAGATATCTAATCATATCAATCTAATTTGTTAATTGGATTGTTTGAATATACGATGGACTTATAAATTTTTTTTTGTCATAAACTATCAGATTTAGTTTTTTCTTCTCTAGTACATTCTAATTGTCGAGGTCATTACTAACTAAACATCAATTGTGTACAACACTTCTTTATTCAACATTTGATTAACAAGATTTATTATTTCAATTTGCTTTTGAATAAGCAACAAAAAAAACCAATTCTTTCTTCAATTATTTCAATCTGATCAAGAATTTTTTCAATTGATTTTTGAAGAAAATCCTTCTTTAGAAGAAATTCTTCAAGATCATCTTTCATTGAATATTTTACAAAAATAACTTTTACTTTATCAATGTCGATATTTAGATTAACAAAGAAAATAAAATTTATTTGATGAACTTACTCATCAATTTCATATTTTATTTTTTGAACAATATCAATTAAAGATTTTTTGACAAATTCCGAGAGTTTATGAAAAAAATCAATTACATTATAATTTAGATTTTCTATACTTTATATCGGACATATATAATAGTTCTAATAATCTATGAAAGTTTATAAAGACCTATAATAGTCTACAGAATTCAATGATACTCTAAAAATATCTATGATAGTCAGTAAAGATCTATAGTAACCTATAAAGACATTACCTAGTCTTTGAAAAATTAGAATTATGAAAACTAGAACATTTTCAATAAAACTAAACTTTAAGATACATTTTTTATGATCAAGAGCTGCAGGATATAAAAAAAGTCTTCCTAGATAATCCAAGGTTTAATTTTTTTTTTACTTTAAACTGTGATCTAGAATCGGAAAGTTATCATTACCTGACCAAGTAGCTCTGTAAGAAAGAATTCGTAGATTTGATTCTTTCGTCATGGAATTATCTTTGAAGAAACATTAAGATCTCTTGTAAAGTTTTATCAAAGACTTTCGAAGTCGAGGAATCCAAATTTATAATCGACTTCTCGAAAATATATACTTGATTTTTCGGTCAAGTTTCCTCGACCTCGAAAATCTGGGATCAAACTTTATAAAAATTTATGAATTTTCTTCCACTAGCTATTCCTTGACGAACGAATCAAATCCACGAATTTTTCGTTACTCTACTATGCAGTAACTGGTGGTAATGAGAATAGGAAAAAGCAAAAAAAAACCAGTAAGAACAAACTCAATAATAGTTGTAAAATCATTTTTTTAAAGACTAATTTAAATTGATTCATTAATAATCGTTTTTTTGTATCAATTGAAAAATCAATTGATTATCTAAATAAATAAACAGAAAAATTATAATCAAAAATGAAATAAATTCATGAATTTTATCATCAATTCCATAAACTTTACGAGTTTGTCTAATTAATTCATCAAACAAACAAACAAACAAACAAAAATCAATCTCATCATGATAATCTTCTTATTCACTTAATAATATTAAACCCGAAAAAGCAGCTGATCGATAATATAATGCACTTTTTCATTTCTAACTAACAAAAGCATATGCTTCCGCAAGATAAGCATTAAGATATATCTAAAAACAAAAAAGAAATATAAATTTCTATCTTTATTGACATATAAAAAATTCTATATTTATCTCACACTATCAATATGTTGTTCTAAATATAAAACTAATATATTTATTTGATTAATATATTGATTAATATCATCTCAATATTTCTATTTAATAAAAAAAAAGATGAATAATATGCAATAAATCCATAAATACTTTAAGATCATTTTGTTCTTGTAATAAACTACACCAACGTATACAAGCATCAAGTTCAAGTTGGAATTCTACTTTATCAAATAATAAACGATTAGCTGTTCGATAAATTTGTATAGCTATTTCAATTTTAGGTTGTAAATCTAATGGTGTATTTGATCGATTTAAGGGTGTGAATGGACCTAAGATATACGCTCATACCCACACCCTTTTCCCCTTTCTTTCTGTTTTTTACGCTAAGAAAAAAGCCTTAACCTGAATTTCTCTTCTTTCAGCTAACGATTTAGTTTAAAAACAACAAAAAGTGAGTAATTTTTAATTAAACTCAAAAAGTAAGGTGTTACTAGCAATTCACCAAAAATGTATCAATCACAACGCTATTATCATTAACAAAATCTCAAAAGTGGATGGTCGTGAAAAATATATCCATTTGATACCCGAATCCTCCCTCAATCACCTACCCGCTCTTGATGTATGATGACAATCGTCATTCAACCAACCTAATTTGTGCCAGTATGTTAACATTATGTTCTCTTTTTGATTCTCTTTATGTCATTCATATTTTTCGAAGAAATAAATGATGAAAACCTGCTGTATAAATCTATGAATAAAGAAGTCTTTACGGAATATATTTATTCAATTATCAGACGTTTAGATATTATTGAAGAATTTCAAGGCTTATCTTTTAAAGTCAGAACTTTTCGTAGTTCAAACTGGATAACTGTAAATTAATACCCGATTGGAGTTACCCATTTTATTTGTTTTTGTAATCACTTTGATTAAAGTCATTTTGTACGTCACTGTGGATGGGTATGAGTGTGGGTGTAGTTCTTCTTTTAACCCACACCGACATCCACATCCTAGCCACTCACACTCACCCTCACATCCTAGTCACCCACACCCTTCCCATATCAGTCCCAACAAAAAATAATTAAAAGAAGAAAAATCAAAGGGCACAGAGCAAGTATAAGCGATCAATTCCTCTTGGATTTTAATAATGTACGTAAAGTTTTTTGTTAAGACTTGATAAGTTGTTTGAAGATTATTCAGAAAGATTGTAAATTACAATTCATTGATACATGGAATAATTATTGTTTAATTTAGACCACGTTAAGCTGTGTATTTGATGAAAAGTCTCTGAGTACCATGACTGAGATTTAGATCAGAAGTGAACTTTAATCTAATAGAAAAAAGAGATTCATCAACAATAAATCAGATGTTTTGAACGCAATAGTCCACGTCAGATCGTAGGAAGACTTCACACCAAAGTGTTTTAAGGCTAGTGGAATTTAGTTTTTTAGAGATTTACTGAATTCATCTTTGACGGAATATAATACCTTTTCACTGTATAGATAAAAGTCATAACAAAGAAGAGTCATCCTACATCTTCGTTTCGTTTTTCTTCTATTTCTGTCTTCATTTTCCCCTTTCAAAAAGAAATCATTTGAGCTTCATCCTCAGTCTCAATATTTTACATTAAATTGAACACGAAAACCTCTGGTAATATTTCAAGAGGTTTCGAAAAATAACCTCTGGCAGCTGCAGTGATTATATTCATAAATTGCCCGCAAGTTCTTCCCGTAGTAAGTCTAGAGACTCTTCATCAAATTTAAAACTTAGTGTAGTCCGAGTTGAACAATACTCATTCAAAGTGTCAATGAAGTGTAATTTTCAATCCTTCTGTGTAATCTTCAAATAATTTACTGATTTTTAAAAAACTATACGTACGTTATTAAAGTGTAAAATCTACTTTAAATATACATATTTACCATGATATTATCAATTATTGGATAATTATTTAATATTTAATTGATCTGGAATAACTTCAACGAAATTTTCTGTCGAAGTTATAACTTCGGCAAACAGTGTAATTTCGGCACGGCATATATATATTCGTGCCCAACAATCGAAATGGGAATAAAGATTATTTATAGTTAATAAATTTGCTGAATATTATAAAGAACAATTACGACGTGAAAAAGCATTAACACCTGAAGAACCTATATCATGCAAAAAGAGATGGATCAATCATTTTCACTCGATCACAATCAAAGGATGTAACCCCAGTCTGACTTCTACTAAATCTTACTAAGGACTCAAGGATACCCTCTATTTTTGGACTTGCGGACTCAAGGGTACTCTGTATAGTAGAACTTGAAGATCCAAGGCTACCTCCCTATAATAGAACTTGAGAACCCAAGGGTGCTCCCTATAGTAGGACTTAGATACCCAAGGGTACCAGTTAACGGTAACTGTTCGGTAACGCTAACTTGCTACGCTAGACTTTAACTTTAAAAAGTTTAAAGTTAAAGCTTAAAGTGCACTACTTGAACTTGAACTTTTAAAGTTTAAAGTAGTATTTTAAACTTTAACTTTAAAGTTAAAGTGCCACCGCTACGCACATCCACACCTTACACGCACATTCATCTACACCTACCCACACCCATACCCAGAATATGTACTTTTTATGTTTCTTCATCTCAGTTTCGTTGAAAATTCTTCAAATAAAAGTTAGTACGAAAATACGAAAAATTGACTACTTATGAAAGAAACTATAGAATTAAGCTGTTTACCATCTCTATATTTTCATGAAACTAACTTAGTTGAAATCAACATTGAATATTGAGTATAATTAAATGTATTTAATGTAATACGATTGCAGTTCTTTTCCCACACAGAATTGATAGATACCGTATAGACAAATGGCGATCTCTAGACCTTGCAAATGTATCTCCTTCCTTGCATTTACAGATAAAACTCTCGTTTGTGTCGGGTAGGCCATAATGAATGGTCGCACTTTGCATTTTATTTTTTTTCATCACCTATTACACTTCATTAAAAAACAAAATATACCAAAAGATACAGCGCGAATAGCTCTACAATTTACACAGTAAAACTTATTGTAATTGTTTTCAAAAAAAAGCGAAATTCTGTACGATCAGTTTTCGCAAGAACGAAAATCGATCCCACGGAATTTTGTTTCTTTTCAAAACAAAAAGTATAAAGTTAAATTAAGCTTTACTTTGCAGAGTGTAGAGCTTTTCACACTGCATTTTTTAGTATATTTTCCTTTTTAATGAAGTGTATTAAGTGATGAAAATATGAAATGCAAAATGCCGGCAGTCATTATGGCCCGCCAGGTATATTAATTGCACCATCAACCGATACAGAAAAAAAACTGAGTATCTTTCTCTTTCTATTCCTTATTGGTACCGAAGAAATTAGGTTTTTTCGACATCAGCATCGGAACATTAAAAAAATGTACTCGTATTCAGATATTTTGACTATCAAAACTTCATTCTTAATTGAAATGGATGTGATATTCAGAATCAGTACGGAAATCTGCATTAAACGACGTAGAATTTCGGTAAAAATATTTTACCTCAAAATTCAACCTGAGAGGACCACGGAAAAAATTACCGTAAAACAGAGGTGAGGTGAAGTAGACATCAAATTTCGACGTAGAATATTTTTACCGAAAAGTTATGTCGTTTGATCCAGTTTTTCGTGCTGATTCTGAATATCCCATCCATTTCAATTGAGAATGAAGTTTTGATAATCAAAATCTCTGAATACGAGTGCATTTTTTATGTTCCGCTGCTGATGTCGAAAAACCTGCTTTCTTCAGTGCCAATAAGGAATCGAAAGAGACGGATACTCAGTTTTTTTCTTTATCAGTTGACGGCTCGATTAATGTTATACAAACGAAAGTTTTATCGGTCAATGCAAGGATGAAAATAGATTTGCAAGGTCTAGAGATCGCCATGTGCCTATACGGTATTTATCAATTTTGTGTAGGAAAAGAACTGCAATCGAATTACGTTAAACACATTTAATTATACTCAATATTCAATGTTGATTTCAACTAAGTTAGTTTCGTGAAAATATAGAGATGGTAAACCGCTTAATTCTATAGGTTTTTTTCATAAGTAGTCAATTTTTTGTATTTTCGTACTAACTTTTATTTGAAGAATTTTCAACGAAACTGAGATGAAAAAACATAAAAAGTATATATTCAGAATCAGTGCATCAAACTGTATCGAACTATGTATAGTCCAACAACATAAAAATTTTCTTTATTTTTGTCCTTAATGTACCGTACCGTTTTTGTTTCGATATATTTTTTTCAATATTTTCATGTGATCGACGTTTTCTGCTTCGACATTTTCTGTTTCGGTCTTTTCTATTCATACCTATTGTAAAATTCTCGGTTGAATCTATTGTATATTATTATCTACTTTATTGCTTGGCTGAATTGACTGTTTATGCATGATATTCAACGTTTTCTTGTCATTTCTCCTTATCACATTATTCTTCTTTCTATTGTTACTATATATTGCGGATCATCTCTCTCCTTGATTCTTCATCTCCTCCTTTCGTATTTCTCCTAGTTGCCTATATAAAGGTATGCTTTTGATGTAAACAATACGGTTGATGATATGAAGAAGCTAAACAATGCGTAATTCCATCTGCACTAGCAACTGTTCTATCTAAAATCGTCATACCTATTGATCAAACTTGATACGTTTTTGCTATTAAAATCCAGCTGACACTACTATTAGCCTATGAAATTAGTGTATGAAGCAGTCGAAAATAAAGGACGAAATACATTTTTTAAAAATTTTATTCAAAATCCTTCTAATTCTATCTCGAGCAATTGACATCACAAAAAGAATGACTAACGAAAACAGGCACACATACTGCTACAAAAGAGAATCGATATTTTCTCTCTTTTGTATCATTATGTGTAATTTTTTTGTCAGTTTTTCTCGTGATGATAATACTTGTCGATATGTTAAGATAGAATTAGAAGTGATTTGAATTAAATCACAAAATTGTACATATTTTCGTTGCAATCTAGTACTATTTTAGCATTCTGCTTTGTCATAAATCATTTCGTTTATCAATGACAAACTTGAATGAGACTATAAAAGATAACAGTAATTCATTTTTAGAACTATGACTACCTATTTATTATTAATTCTATTACTGCTATCACATCAGCATACGAACGTTCAAGCAGGACGTTCTGCTCTCTGTTTTTTGACACGTATACCAGCATTAGAAACACTTGAATTTGCACAAGAATTGGCTCAAGATGCAATAGAATATGATGTTGATGTATTTATTATGATTGATGATAATAAATTTAATGTATCTACCATAAATATTTCATCCAATATCCGATTAGTTCAAATTTCAAATCAAGAATGTATTTATTATGGTTATCGAAAAACAATTTATGTAGGAAAAGGCTGGCCAAAAATTACATCATGGGATAAAGCTCTTCTCTATTTTACTTTATTGAATAATAATTATGGATTTGTTTGGTTAATTGAAAATGATGTTTTAATTCCAAGTGTACAAGCATTTCGTTCATTACATCAACTTTATTCGAATACTAGTGATCTTATTGTTCCAAGTAATAAAATTAATTTATTAGGTGATACATCAACTCGGATTTGGTGGCCACAGGCAGTTGGAAAACTTATCCTACCTTGGTCTCATTCAATGGTTAATGTAGTAGGATTAAGTCGACGAATGCTAATAGCTATTGGTGATTATGTTCATTTGTTAGGCGAAGTACCATTTCATGAATTTTTCTTCCATACATTAGCTATTCATTTAAGGGTGTGGGTGTGGGTGTGGGTGTGGGTGTGGGTGTGGGTATGGGTGGGTGTGGGTGTGGGTGTGGGTGTGGGTGTGGGTGTGGGTGTGGGTGTGATTGTTCCAAGTAATAAAATTAATTTATTAGGTGATACATCAACTCG